AAAGTGTTGTGTTTTTTTCCTCCTCCTTCTTCTTCTTCTTCTTCTTCTTGCCATCTCGATTCGCTCTGGCTGTAACCTTCTTGTGTGTGAGACAAAGCGATCAACAAAAAAATATGTTTTAAATTGCGCAGCCGAATTTCAATTAGTTCGAGATGCTGTATGCCAAAAGAGATATGTTCAATTGATCGGAATAGAAGGAGTTTTGAGATACATCTCTTTCGGTACACTTTCAAAAGCCCATTTCAATTGGCAGTTCAGTCAAACACTCGATCGATCGATTGTGGATTCTCAGCCATTCGCTTTGTTTGTGTTGACGCTGGAAACTTTTATTTTCGTCTTTCAACGTTTGTCGCACGTGTTTGCTTTACATCTTTGTTTAAGTGTCGTATTTACCGAGTGCGCAACGACACACGGAATACAAAATAAGACGCGAGAGAGAAAAAACATCAAGTGGAAATCGATTGAAGCCAAAACTAAAGTGTGGCAATTGGTTTGCTTAACAATTTATTTGTTCAGATTCATTTGCAATTGAGAATGAAATCAACTCGTCTATAGAACAAACGAACTGGTTTTTTTGTGTTCTTTTACCAAAGCGTACATGTTCTTACATTCTTTCCTCATGCGCCTTTACTCTTACGTTTTTCATCATTAAATTGAACCGTACATTGTTTTGCGCATATATATAACAACAATCATATCGATTACCTGGATATCATATTATGCTGGTGCTATAATCGAAACGAAAAGCAAGCGTGCCTGGTTTCTCTCCGTCTCTCTCTCTCTCTCTCTCTCTCTCTCTCAAATTCTAGCGTTCTTACATTCCGATAATAAATTAACAACGAGAGACAATCACGCAACTGCTGAAAACATGAATTTAATGACGAAACAATATTTAATTGTCCATCAGATTCATTTGCATTCATTCCGTTCACAGCATACAATTGCCTGTTATTCGTTTTATGTTCGTTGGAAAAATGCGAACTATTCGACGATTTTGATACAGATCATTTTTGATCATGACATTCGCTCTCTAGAAAAAGTTTTGAACAACTGGCGGTTTTTTGTTTTTGTTTTAATTGAATGTTTTTTTTCGTATGGTTATTTGGTCTAAATGTTAAACATCGAAATATCAAAAAAGAATTTGGTCCGTGCTAAACGAGCAAAAAAAGTACACTCGTGACGAAACCGGAAGATGTGCAAACTGCATGAATGCACATGTTGGTATTTGTTCGAACCTACCCTAAGTTACACGTGACATTCATATGCAAGCGATATCATCTGCGATTTCTTGGAAACGCGGCAAATAATACAGAAACTATATTGAGATAATCTGTGGTTTTATAACTCTAAACAGGTCGGAATAACTCCATTAAACACATTTTTGTAACACCATCTTATGGAAACATAATTTAGGATTTGTTCAGATTTATGACCCGATCACCGCATACGAATTGTAAAGCAAAATAGTCAGGATTTTATTTCCTAATGATTTGAATAAACCGACGTAACATTCTAATGCTGTTCGACTAGTTCATTGCAGTCGATACTTTTTTTCTCTACTATCGATTGATCTAGACATAAATTTGATTGCTATTCATGATTATGACCGCGATCCTGTGGATGCTATAATGTCACATCTGTTGCCGAAAATTCATCAGCAAATTAAATGTCAAGATAGTAGCAAAAGCAGATGAAACTATTTTCATAGTATTTGTATTTGTTTCTAGAAACTATTACAGTTCCTTAGAAATTATTAATGTAGAAATTGTGGTGGTCCTCCATGAGTTCCCATTGAAATAGGGAATCCAATAAAAACCAATAAATTATCAGGACTTATTATTATTATTATTATTATTTATTACGAAGCCTACATTTATGCCAATATGTGTTCCCAGCAAGCTGGAAACATGCTGGTCAGAGACCCAATACGGCATAAATTCCGCCCATGGTGAGTCTTTTGCAAAGAGAATACAGTCAGGGGAGGGATGATATAAAAGTGAGGCTTTCATACCAGAATTGGGTCCGGAAAACCATGGTAAAACCGGCCTGATTCTGGAAAACCAGGGGAAATACAATGCCAGGACTTCTGTTGTCTTTGCCGCGAGGCTGTCAAAAGGCGTCAAAAAAGTAGTAAAACGATAATGAGATCTGCAAATGTGATTGATTGTGAGAGATACAGAAAAACGTGCGCCAGCTGATGCTTTTATCATGAATACTTCGCAATGCTCGTCTTGGTATGTTTTATTCAATTCGCTTTACATACTTGTTCTATTTGAATGAATAATAAGGTATTGAATTTTTGTCGCCAACAATAAAATAAAACATAACAAAAAACTAACCGTCTCAAAACAAGTATAGAATCATTTATTGACTGATCAAGGTTTAATGCATGGAATGTTTAATACTGTCAACCGTTAAAGTTAGTGTTTTTCAACGAATTGAACCAATTCACATCTTTATTCTCTTTCTTTTTTCGTTTGAATAACTGAATAATTGCCTAAAGTTTTTTATTATCTGAAAATAAATTCATATCACTATTATTGCCGTTCACTAAGCGGCCAAGATCTAATGCACCTGAACTCTCTCATTCTCGCTATGGAACCCAATTTTTCTGTGTATATTTTTAGTTATGATATGATTAAAACGGGTTTCTAAACGTCTCATGTTATGCATATTCCAAGCTCTTGAGTTTTTGTCGCATGCAAGTTTGGCTGTGTTTGGACTTTGGCGGTTCAGGTATAGCATAGTGTTCATTCGGCGAAAGAGAGAAAAAAACGAAAAGATAAGAATGAACGTTACCATGAATCTGTAAAATTGAACAACATTCCATTTCATAATTTATTGGAGCATTGTTCAAATGACGTCCATGAAAATGGTTCTCATTCTCGTGTTACTAGGATCCATCTGCGTCACATACGCGCGCACTTCTTTCATTTCCAATCGCCATCGAACCATGCAGCTTGTGCTTTATAATAATTCACCCGACCGATAATATACATCAGACGTATTGTCGGTTTGAACTCAATGTTTGTGTATGACAAGCTTTGTTATTATTTAAGCATACCGGCGATAATATTTGGGCATATGCGAGACTTTTTTCGCTGTTTGATTGTGGAGAAGAGTTTGAAACCAAATGGTGTCGCGTAGAAATGCAGATAGATTCGAGTTGAATACGAATTATGACCATCCCCTCTTTAATGATATGGTTTGAAAGAGTTGTTTAAAGAACAATTGGAACATTTTTTTCGGATGATAAAGACCGCCATCAGGAAGAGTCACCCAAAAAATGTGATGTCAACCGCAAATTGATCCAATTAAATAGCTAAAATTGTTGGAAAAAATACGATCAATCATTTCATCAGGCAATTTCAAGTGAATTCCCGTGGCAAAAATGGTTGAAAAAAAAACATGTATATAATTGTATATTGGTAATGGCAATCGTACTGAGCAGGTCGTTTAAAATAATGAACCTTGACCATCATAACACGTCTGTCTAGAGATTACTACTTGCATATTACCTCTTGAATAGCATCGTCGATACAGTCAGATCATTGTCGACTGTGCGACCGTACACATCGCACATAACAAAAACACTCTCCGAAATTCACAGTCACTTGCAATACATCTTCCAGGGGCGCAAAACATACAACAACAATGACAGAATAACAAAAAAAATCACACACTAGACACATATAAATGTAAAATGTTCAGTTTCATTTGTTATTGTGAACTGATAAAGTTTTGTGAACGTGCATTGAATAGTTTATGAAAAAAAAGACGAAAAAGACATAGCGAAATTCGAAAGCTCGTGAGCAGGAACGCTTTTATTTTGGAATTCGGAAAAAGAAGCGAATAAAATTTGGAATTAGTAAGCAAAAATATTGAAATGAAAAATTTGTGCACAATTTGAAGAATCTTTAATTATTCGTGATAACTCAATAATTGTAGTTCGCACGATATTCACCAACACTCAGCCATTTCGCTGATTGAAAATTCAATGATTTTCTCAATTCATTCTTTATAGTCGCGGTGCGTGCTTATTTCAGAAGAATTCTATTGGCGAAACAGCAACGAACAGAGAAAAAAACAATATTTCATTTTCCATATTTTCAATAAGGTTTTTTGTTGATTAATTTTGACTCGTTCATACTTTATAGTGGCCATAATCTGTGTTGCATCTATTGATGTGAATTTTCAAAGCGAATTACTCAACAAAATGAATTGAAAACTTGAATATTCGTTGATTTCCTGCTATCACACTGAAATCCCACCAGCCGTAGCTACTTATAGCGAACTCACTGGTAGTCGTATACCGCAAAGATGGGCTACTACAAAAAAAGCAACAACAAGTAAATAGCACAAGTGCATCGCGGTTTTAATTGTTATCTCCAATTTTACGATAGAATCGTATTGGGGTATAAGAGCGCAACACTTTCCGAAGTATCGAAAACCGAATAAAAAACGCTGTTGTTATAGTAATAACACATATCGGAACAAAAACATTTAACAGGCAAACTTTATTTTATCTAGTGCTGGTTTTTTGCACAGCATCGAGTGAGAGAGAGAGAGAGAGAGAGAGAGAGAGAGAGAGAGAGAGAGAGAG